GAGTGAAGAACAGCAGGGAGCGTAAACTTAGAGAGGCTTCTTCACTAAATGGGGTCTTAAACCAGGCATGGATTTTCACATGCTGAGATTATACAGAATTTGCAGAAACCATACAAAATGCTTTTCTAAACAATGTTCCACCTGGGCATTGGACACCAAACAACCAAGCATATGTAAACTGTGGTAAAGAAACACTGTACTCGTCTGCATTGCAGTAATAAACCTTATTTTTCTGCATTGTAATAAGAAGATTATGATTTGTTACCCATTGTGTTTCCATGAGCATTGTAAAACAGGATTTCAGTTTAGCAGTCTGAAAGCTGGGTTTTCTTTTCTGATTTTCAAATAGTGAAGGTTGTTTTCTTGATTGCTGATCTCTGAGGCTCACAGTGAAATAGAAACAGGCTCTTTCCTCTCTCCCTGCTCCAAGTCTACGTTCTGGAACAACTGGGAGCATTTCATAACTCTTATTTAAACTTAGGTATTATTTCATCAAGATCCAGTATCTAGATTAGGATAATGCTGTGGGGTATTTTAGACTCCACACTGGAATGCTGCCTTTCTGACTGAGAGACAATTCATTGTATAAAGTTTGGAGCAACTTAAAAGGGAAACCTGAGCACAGAGATCAAGATGTACTGTATTTGGGGAGAGTACAGTGGAGCTTCAGTTCCTACATTCATGATGGGAAGTAGAGTGGCTTCATTGCTTGGAGTGAAGGAAGTGCCCGCATTAGGAGTTCCCTGCTTTGGTCAGGAGACCCCAGCTGATAATTAGAGACTTCACAGGTAAGGGGTGAGCACTGTGGGGCTGCTGGTCCCCATGGGATGGTGCTTGGGATGTATCTATTGAACACGGCTGCCATGAAATTACACCAGCTCCTGCTGACAAACTAGCTGCAAACCTCGCAGTTTGTGTCTCTGCCTAAAAACTGTAGTTTCTGATTTCTGTTTTTGTGTATGGCTTTCAAGAGTTTATAGTCAAACATGGATTTGGTTCTGGAGCCTCCAAGACAGTACTTCACTTGTTTGCTTTATTGTGGGGCTTTTTTGTTTTGTTTTGTCTAGGATTGCATAGAGTAACCAGCCATTTGCATGCGAGATAGTGTATATGAGGAAAGGTGCATTTCTTGGTTCATTGTCTGCAGCAGGACTTATGCTTGCATAGAAACACTTGGTTTTCTCTTAGGGAGGCAGGGTTTGTTGCTGTGTTAGTCTGCCAGGCTCTCACTGAAGCTCTGTTTTCAGATAAAGTGGTAGCCCTTTATTCTTGTTTGCAGATGTTAGAATTATATGTTGCTAATGGGACTTTACACAATGATTTATATGAACACAAAGATGTCATTAAATTAACCAGACAGAGCCAAAGTGCAAACAGTAAAGAATAACAAAGCTTAAGATAGAATCTATTACATCAATAATAATAATAGTAGTACCTTTCAATGTATTTATTAATTTTTTTATTGATGTCAGGGCTTCTAATACATTTTTTCATTCATTAATTGATGAAAAGAGGCATCATCTTACACACAGTTCACTGCCGCCATCCAAAAAGCTCAGCACACAAGCCAAGCAGCAGTAGCAGAAACCATGAAGTGTAGCATTATAGGATATCATTAACTCTGTGTGTAAGCAGGAACTAACAACTCTTGCAAATGTAAATACTCAACCTCCTCATTGTGAAGAGACTGGAAAGCAGGAAGGTGGATATAAGAGACATACCTGAATGCAGCTCAAGGTGAGTCCTCCCCTGAGAAATTATGTGTATTCATAATACAAATTTAGCTAATGTGAAATAAAGCCCTAGGGATGCCAAAGCAGCTCATGACTTCCACCTATGTAGCAAAAAGCTGTTTAAGTTTCCCAGCCAACAAGCTAGGAAAAATCTTTAATAGCTGTTAAAGCAGAAGTTAGAATTGGGAACGTTTCAGAAACGGTGTGACATGTGGATAAGGTAACATAGCAGCTTGCTGCAGGGAGGAGAATACCTCCTCCCTGTTTGTCTTCCTGCCTTCCCCCCACCTGCCTCCAGCTTGGTCCAGTATCTCTCCCTTTGGTACACCTGCCCAACTCATTACAATCAAGTTAAGGACAGGAAGGTGCAGGATGGCTCTTTTCCAGCAGCACTAGGTTGTTACATTAGCTCCCCTTGTTTCAGGAAACTACATTCTTGGTCTTTTTCTCCTGCTGACACTGGGTAACTTAGCAATATTGTCCTGCCATGCCTTCCTTCAGAATACATGGGAAGTGAGCTGCAGGGCTCTGCAGGATTTCACTGAGCTCTGGATAAAGGCAGCAGAGATCAACCTAAAAGGTGCTGCCATGTGTCTTCCTAGAGAGGTTGGTATTTCTTCAGGATCAAGAGAAGTTGTGGTCCTGCTGTTGTCAGCATGGATTCTTTAAATTAACTGATGATGCTTTCCATGGGGGTATATATGTATTGCTGCTCTGATATAGCTGCTAAGCAGTTCAAGCTAAGCAAGTCTATATAAGAAGCCCCCAGAGGAATCTTGCACATCTTGCTGCATGATGAAGTGTGTCAGTACTTCATGGTACAACAGTGAGGTGGAAACATGGAGAATGTGCTCCTCTGGACTGCCAGACTCCCTTTCTGCTCCACTAGATTTCATACACATTTGTCAGCTTATTTAAACAGGAAGAGCAAACTTCTGTCTTTACAAGCTTGTTCTGCTCAAATGTCTGCATAGAATGGGATTTTCTTCTCTTCTTTGCAGACTCAACCCCAAGATAAACCATCCTTTTCCTGCCTAGACACTGCCAGGAGCCCACAGGAGCCCTGGTGCAGAGTTCTCAGAGCTCACTAGCAAGTCTTGTAATCCCAAACCATGTGTTTTGGTAGACAAGAGTAAGTTTTTGGAGGGACCTATTAAATATATGAAGGTTACTCAAGTAAAGAGAGATTCTAGTAGTTAGCTTAGACTAGATACTGAGCCGTAAATGGCCCTAGTTTAGTGAGATGTACCTTCACTAACCTGTATTCTCCTAAAATGCAAGTGCACAGTTTATCTGTGCCTTCTGTCGTGTAAATCCCATCAGTTATGATTGTTTTTCTCTTGGGTACAAAGTGATGAACTGATTGATTCAGCAACAACTTTCAGATTTTTTTACAGTAGTTTAGCGATATGTGAGTATTCTTCATTAGCTGATTGTTGGGCAGGGCTGGGAATGAGTTGCTGAATGACATGCAAGATATGTCTGAAAAAAAAGCTCTTCTTACAATTCAAGGATGCTGGAGAGGGACTCTTCATCAGGGACTGTAGCGATAGGACAAGGGGTGATGGGTTCAAACTGAAACGGGAAGTTCAGGTTGGATCTAAGGAAGAAGTTCTTCCCTGTGAGGGTGCTGAGGCGCTGGCACAGGGTGCCCAGAGAAGCTGTGGCTGCCCCATCCCTGGCAGTGTTCAAGGCCAGGTTGGACACAGGGGCTTGGAGCAACCTGCTCTAGTGTGAGGTGTCCCTGCCCATGGCAGGGGGTTGGAACTGGATGATCTGTAAGGTCTTTTCCAACCTAAACCAGTCTGTAATTCTGTGATTCTGATAAATACGGATTTTCAGTTAAAAGGGTGAAATGACACCAGGCTTCTACGTATATGCATACTTAAAGAATATCATATTATAAAACTAAAGTAGAAACACACTGATGTGAAATCTTGATCTTACTCAGAACAGCTTCAAAGCTCATTTGGCAGAAAAAGCTTTTAATTCTGCAAAAGCTGATTGGGAAAAGAATAAATTTCAGCATGAGCTGTGGTTCCCCTTCTATTGTAGGTAGTCATGTACTTTCCAATCCTGATTTCCTAAAAGGCAGTCGTGTAATTGACTCACAGATAACTGCAGACAGAAATTGTCCAGAAAGCTGTGAAAGTGCTGGGTACTACAGTATGATTTACTGTATGAGAGACTGACATCACCAATACGATGTGTTAATGCAGTAAGAGCAGTTTGGTGGGGAGGGTTTGTGAGGGAGCTGGCAGAGTTAACGTTTCCTGTGAGAGGTAATTGGTCTATCCATAAATACTGCTGCTGTGGCCCTTTTGCAAGGCAAATCCCCTCTTTATGTATTTCCAAATGAATGGAAGAGAACACAGCATTTAGTCTCTCCAGCAGTGTCTGGTCCTGTCACAGTAGGAAAGCGTAAGGCAAATAGGAATCATTTCCTAACTGAGAATTGTTCCAAATCATCCTGTTAGACCCGCTGAGATGTGCCTACCACTTCTGGTCCCAGGCTGCATTCTTCATTGCCTCCTTCTGCGTGGTTTGGTGATGATTATGTTCCATTTCAAAGAACTCAGCACTTTTAAAACGACCTATTTGCAGCTTATTTTGTGGACTTGACTGAAAACACTCTACGAACTGTGTAATGATTCAAAACTTTCTCTTAGCTGCCAACAGGGAGAGAATAATGTTTCCAGGAGGCAGTTAATGCTGCAGGTGCTCTGGGAGATGCCTGGCTCTCTCCACGGATTGTAGCGGAAATTAGGTCCTATCAGATAGCACAGATTCAGAAAACGAATTGGTGTGTGGACATGAGGTTTTGGACCAACCATGGGATATTTCCAGATTTCCTGCAAGGGCTGACAAAAATACCCCCCTTTGCACGTTATTCAATGTTGGGCAGGCACCCTGCAAAACAGACTTGCACAAAGATTGTAGTTTTGTTCTGTTCAGCCTCCAAAGTCAGGAATGCGTGGTCGAGTCTGTAACACCCACTGTACTTAACTGAGCCTCCGAGTACTTCCCACCTACATCCAAGAGCAGGGAAATAAAGTGCTCTAAAAGATAGAACTTGTTCCAAGGAGGTTGGTGTTTGGAAAACAGTCATTGCTGTAGAGATCTACCTATGTTTATAATCACTGGGGAAGCTGAAAATCATCAAGCATCATCATGTAATAAGAAAGACTTTTCAAAACGTGTTTCCAGTAGTCTTCAAGAAAAACACAGACAATGCTCAAGCCACGCGGTCAGGGAACTTGAGCACAGCTTTCAGCTGAAAGCTGGACACAACTGCCAGGTCACACGTTACTTCATGCCCAAACTACACTTTCTTTATCTGCACCGTGCAAAGCTGGGAATGGGAAATGCCATTTAGGCATATTTGGTTAGTTGCACACAGATGCGTAATGATTGTGATAGTTCCTTTTTACAGAATATAAAAGTAAGCCGGA